CGAAGATAGTAACGCTTGTGATGACAAACTCCCTTCAGAAAAATCATTGCTTCACGCATAGCCTCGGGAATTTTGCCTTAATAACTACCTTGTAGCCCATAGAGTCTAGAACCTCAACTGACAACAAATTCCTCTGAATATCTGGAATGTGTTTTACATCAGTCAGCTCTCTCACAATATCATCATGCATCCCGATAAAGATACCCTCTACATCAGTAGCATGATAAGCTTGATCATTTTTCATGGTCACTGCACTGCTATCCAGCTCCTTGCACGTACATAACTACCCTTGATGAGTACAATGTGATAGTTAACACTTGAGTCAAGAATCCATCACAAGTCATCTGTAAATAAACTATGAAAAACTACAGATAACGATGCATCTAAATATGCGTCTTCACATCTTTCCATAATGATATTGAATTTTGCTTCAGATGCAACTTCCTTTTCCTTCTTCTTTAGTTTCAAACAAATTATCTTCTAATGACCAATCTTTAACTCAAAACTACGCCCACGCGACTTGCTATGCTTTTTAGAAGTGTCGTCTCTGCCGCATTTCTTTGTCGAATTCTTCTTTTTCTTCTCAGATTTGTCATGTTGAAGTGTAAGTGTCTCTGACGACTCCATCTTAGAGGACTCATTGTCTTTTCGACGAAACTCGTGTTTCAATAGCGTTGCAATCTCTTCATCATAATTCAAGGCCACATCATTCCCATAAATGAGTGTCATAATAAATTTTTCATATTCATATGGGAGTGAATTCAATAGAAGGAGCACATTTTCTTCATCACCAACTTTTCTCATCCAAATTTAACAGATATGTTAACAATTTTGTGAAATCATTCAAGTGCTCATCAATAGTAAACCTCAGTTTCATTTGAAAAGTTTAGAGCCAATGCTTCATATGATATATTTTTTTTCTTCAAGATCCTCAACAATTTTTCTACAGAAGTCTCTATCATCAACGCATATTTGATCTCCTGGGTCAAGCAATTTCGGATCAAACCACAAGCACTCCCGTTCATCTTTAATCAATCTCTCTCTGATATCTCTTTAGAACATTCATCGTTATCCAAGACCTCCTCGATTATCATACCTTGCATCATCACATGCAAAAGTTCTATTTGCCATCAAATTTCGTCCCACTGATTTTGATGGGATGTGCAACCACCTGATGAATCAACTTTTCTACCATCATAATAGACATTACAAAATTTGACATCCTGTTATCATTCATTGTTATCACACTTGAAATATTTTTCTTATTGACATCCTGTTATCATTCATTGTTATCACTGTTGAAATATTTTTCTTAAATATTTCTCTAATTTTAAAAACTTGAAAAAAAAAACCAACTTAAAAAATGTTCACCTGAATAAATAAATAAAATATTTCCATTTTTCCTTTCTTTTTTGTTTAAAAAAGAATAAAAGATTTTTTTCTTCTTTTCCTAAACTACGTAAATACATCGGTTCGGCAGTTCAAAAATATCACCTGCGTAATTAATTTATAAATATAATTTTTTCGTGCGGTGTGCACGTAATTAACCCTAAAAAAAACATTTCTCACATCCTTTTAAAGCACAATTACAACTTCCCCAAATGGAACAAACTCATTGCCACCTCAAATAAGTGAAATTCACAATAAATCTCTCTTCTAAATAAGTCCTAGACTTATAAATAGCAATGTTTCAAGGGCTATATGTTTAATATAATAAAAGCAACATTACTCTTATCTCCAACATACTTGTAGATTATTAAACCTAATATAGCTCAGCAAATCTAAAGGCATGAAGCATGATGAATGGCTCTAACATTTATTAAAATATGTAATAATAAAGAGTATATATGTAAAATTCAACTTTTAAATAGAGTAGCATTAATTGACATGCAACCTTATAATTAATGAATGATAAAGTTGCAACTTTATATGACAAATATATCAAATATACATAAATGTAATATGTTGAATTCAATGTTATTGGCTTGTCCTAATCCATCACAAGCACTGTGCTGATATGTAGTGCCCATTATTTTAGCCACTATATATATATATATATATATATATATATATATGGTGGCTAAAATAATGGGAGGTATAAATATAAAAAGTAAAATTTTGGTGATAGATATGTAAGTACATAAGAATAAGTTGGTATTTATGTGAATGTCCAATGTATAATTATAATAATATGTGAGGGAAGGATATGTGCAGATATGATGGTATTGTGGCCGTCGTAATATCACCACAATATCGTGAATCCACACGTACCTTTTTGAGTCAACACGTTGAAACTACTTAAGAGTTAAGAATAGACATCATATAATTTTATCATAAGAACTGTGTACATGTCATAGAAACTATGCATGATGAGTTATTACAAGAAAAAAATTATACCATTTATTACAAATATATCATTGAGAATATTTTTGTCAAAATTTGATCCATGTGAATGTTAAAATTTTTATACTTATTTTATGTTGAATGCCGA